TGATCTTTGAGGTCCCTTCCAACATAAATCATTCTCTGATCCTCTGAGCCTACAACTTGAGCTTGGAAACACAAGGGTGCTGGAGGCAGAAGGGACAGGGGGAGCTCGGGAAGACCCAACTCAGCCAGGAGCAGAAAGAAACATCCCAGCATTGTACTCACTTTGCAGGACTTGACAATGATGATCCCGGAGTTCTTGTAATTCTTTTTCTTCTTCTGCTTTTTGGGGTTAATGCACTCCAGCTCGAGCTGTAAGACAAGAGACAGACACGGGTGGGAGAGTGGTGGTGTGCAGATGCCACCAGCGCCCACCTCCTGCAGGCACCTCCTCTCTGTGTGCTTCCAAGAGACATCAGAACAGCGAGCCAACGGTGGAGACGGAGGGACAGGACCTGCTTGGGAAGGGGCTGCTTTTCCTTTCCCAGGTTTTCTACTGTCTCCAGGCCCCGGCACACGGCAGCCAAGACACCCCAGCGAGGCCATGGGGGTCAACTGGGTGGGATGGGATGGGTCAGGCACATGAATAATTACGGCAGGTCACGGCCTCTCCTCAGAAGCTCTGGGGAAACAAAATGCCTTTTGAATATTCAAGAAAATTGCTGCAAAATTCCAATGTTTAAAAAATAAATCTAAAATGGAAAAACAACTCTCATCCAAGGAGAAAGTTCACGCATGGGTCTGTCTGGGAGTGAGGGCAGGACTGGGCAGGGGGAGCACAGATGAAAAGTTGTGTCTGTTCTTCCAGCGGCAGAAAAACGAGGAAATTTTAAATACTAAAATCCTTAAGTATCAAGGTTGCATTTCACTGACCAAACAAAATAAAAACGTGCATCTATTGACAAAATCCCCCAGTTCTGAAGAAACCCAGGCAGATGGTCCAGCCAAGAAGCAGCAGCAGGTAGCTTCCACGGGAGTCCATGGGGACCCCACGTGGGATGGCAGTGGCCAGTCCGTGCCCCCTCCCCAGCATCCTGCTCAGACCAGCCTGGTGATGGGCCTGGACCTGCTCAGACCACCTGAGGATGGTCCCAGACGTGCTCAGACCAGCCCGGTGATGGCCCTGGACCTGCTCAGACCACCTGAGGACGGCCCCAGATGTGCTCAGACCAGCCGGGTCATGGCCCTGGACCTGCTCAGATCACCTGAGGATGGCCCCAGACGTGCTCAGACCAGCCCGGTGACGGCCCCAGATCTGCTCAGATCACCTGAGGATGGTCCCAGACGTGCTCAGACCAGCCTGGTGATGGCCCCAGACCTGCTCAGACCACCTGAGGATGGCCCTAGACGTGCTCAGACCAGCCCGGTGACGGCCCCAGACCTGCTCAGATCACCTGCGGATGGCCCCAGACGTGCTCAGACCAGCCC